TTATTGGCGTCCTTTTGTCACTTATTTACTGCATAAATTCGGTTTTGTATATATATTTCATCATGTAGTGAATAAAAAAATAGATCGAACCTTTCTGATAGGATGCCAAAAGTCACAGGAGACAAATAGAATATAGAATTGATTAAAATAGAAATGGAAACGCAGAATAAAATAAAGATATAGATTCTTTTATTTCATTTCGAGCATTCTTTGAATTTTGCAATGTAAATAAATATATTTTATAACAAATATTATTGTATATTATTTTGCGTTGAAAGATGTCTCATCGAAAGCAATATATGTCTCAAAATTAGTATCGTAGTTTAATGTTCTTTAAACATCTTTCGATTCAATTTATAACGTAGAAAGGTTTTTTTAAGGATTAACTACACAAAAACGAATCGCAGAAAACTATAATCATTACGATAAAAGACGTTTAGATTGCTTCGACTAACCTGTTCTAAACTGTTGATTCGTGACCACGGATCTTATAACGGAAACTTTGAGAACAGCAAGGACATCGAAATCGTTTAAGTTATCGAAGTTTCTTCTCCACAGAAATTGACATTTCCAGGTATATTGTCGTGCGAACTACGTGTAGTCGTATTAATCAGATCTTAACTTTCTTCCGCAATTTCCTCTCTTTTTCTCTATCCGGAATTATATTTTATAATAAAACACACTGTGTTATTTTATTAAAGATAAATTTTATTGGAAAATTGATACGAATTGATACGACGGTCACATTACCATGCTCATGTACGGTGCATGCAGTTCCAGATAAAATTATACTACTGTCAGCGCATTTATTTATCTCGCTGCATGCATGTTCTATCTGCAGCTTTTGATACCACAAAAATATTTTCGTTTTAGTATTTTAATAACCATATTATCATTACGGATAGAAATTATTTATAGTCATATTTGCCTTTAATGTTGTTTTGTACTACGGTATATCATGAAAGAAATATAATAGCTTTGTAACAAACAAGTATGCACGATCTGATTTATAATCTTTTTAATTTTTATGCTCTTAGAACAATATTAAAATTAGTAGTGAAGATATTTGTTATATATATAAAAAAAACATGATATTTTAAATAATCTAAATGAATTATGACGTATGTTAAAGTTATAAATATTTTATTTGAAATATTTTTTATATTTTCCATTGCTTGGAAATTGATATTTGTTTTAAATAATTAGCGATTCAAAGAAATTTTTCAAGCTTTCAATATGGTTCTAGAAAAAATATATGTGTTATTTTTATCTACATTGTAAATACACAATATCCAAAGCTCAAAAATGAAAAGGGGGAAAAAGAATTGAGTATACATTTCCTCGTTATCTGGTTATCGTCCGTACTTCTGCCAACCGTAAAACCGATAAATGTATATTGAACATAAAGTTCTTGCTAATATCTTAAGTGAAATGTAGTCCATCGTTGTCCTCACTTCTTGCTCGAGAAACCGAATTGTAGAGGGTGGAAACGGTCACGGGCGAAATTAAGATTAAGCAGAGGAGCGGAGAGAGAATAAACCGGCGTAGGAATTTACTCGCGGCTCTTATGGCCTCCCTAAGGACAGCCAAGCAACCGAGTAACTGGTTGCAGAAGCGGTACGTTTATGGAGACGGCGAAATGGCTCTACCCAGCCGCGCGATAAGTGGAGTCGAGCGAGCGAAAACACATAAGGACTACGAGGGAAGGGAGGGGGGGGGAGGAGAAAGGGTAACAACGGTTAGCTCACCGAGACATTCCTCGTGCTCCCGAATCGACTCCCTCGCCACGAGCACTCGTATCTCTTTCCCTGGCGAACCGATAGCTCAATTAGTCACGAGAACGAACTCGCTTTTCCGGCTATCTCTTTTCCCCACCTTCGGCGGTTGGTGGTGTCGGCCGGTCGCGAGAGAAATGGCCAGGACCGAGTCCTTAGGTTTAGGAAGGAAGGGCGGAAGTCGATAAGAGGCAAAGTGGAATCGGGAAAAGTGGCGTTGTGGAAGCGCGTAAGGGAAGAGACGAGGTGATGGGAGGTGGGAGGGGGTACGGGACGACGAATGAGGAAAAAGGAACGGAACGAATGAGGAACGGGATGCTGGAGAACGCGCACGCGAACGGGAGAGGTTTTTACCGCGAAAAGTTTCTCGAGGGAACGAACGGAACGTCCGTTCTACGAGCGAGCAAACCGACCCATCGATCGATAGATCCGGAACTAGCGACTTCTTTCCTTCTC